CCGGGTCGGTCGGGCGGAGGTTACGAAATCGCGTTCAAGAATCCACACTACGATAGCTGGGTACCTCGAAATGAACCCGAGCATGTTTTCTTTTGTGTGTGTGTGAACCCGCATCCCGCAACTAGTAGGCAACGACTTCCTACCCCGTGCGCCGCCGCCCCCGCGTGTCGCCCTACATACTAGTATCGCACTTTGGCCATCGTTCGTTCTTTCTTGGCGCCGGAACGGACGTTGGCCTAGTGCAGTTCCGGCAACCCAGAGTAGGAAACGTTACACCAATCCTCGCTACCCAACGCGGCCAAAGGATTACCTCCTCGAGTCCCTCGAAGGAAGATAAAAGAATATAAGTCGTGCGCAAGCACACCTGCCCACTGCTGACGCGCACCTGGACGGCGGCGGCGGCGTTAGCGACTTTCGTGGCGCCAAAGCTGCCGGCACTGACCATGGCGGCGGACGTGACCGCGCAACTCACTGCGGCCTACCAGCGCGAGCGCGCAGGCCGCGAGGCGATGGCGCGCGAGGCCGCGCTGCAGCAGCGGCAGCGCCGCATACAGACCGCGTGCGTGCGTGGCTTTGCGCCCGGCGAGGTGGCCGTCACGATTCCCGTGGCCGGAGCGTGCGCCGGCATCCCGGCGTGCTGCTCCGGCATGCTGGCCGATCGGGGCTCGCCGCTGGCCGCCATCGTGACCCACCCCTGGGGTCCGATGGGCGGGTCGATGCATGACCCAAACGTGCTGGCCCTCGCCGACACACTGGGCGAGAGCGGCGGCGTCACGACCCTGCGCTTCAACTTCCGGTGCGGCATCGGGCGGGGCCACTCCTCCGCCGACGACATCCGCGCGGCGTGGGCCTTCCTCCGCTCGTGCTGCGACCCGCCGCCGAGCCGACTCATCCTCGCGGGATACTCGTACGGCTCGCTCTGCGTCGCCGACGCCGCGCCGTCGCTCCGTGAGCACCTCTCGGCGCTCATCCTCCTCGCGCCGCCGCTCAGCTTCGCCGCCCCGCTCTTCTTTTGCCGCGACGTCACCTCGCCGCTCCAGCGTGGGGAGGCGCGCGCGCCCGCCCTCCTCATCAGCGGCACGGCAGACCAGTTTTGCTCGGTGCGCCGCTACGAGCGCTTCTCTCGCGGGTTCAGCGGTGGCGCGCGCGCGACGATGCTCTCCGTGCGCGGCGCCGACCACTTTAGCTTGTGGATGATGGCGGCACCCGCCGCCCAGCTCGCGTCCTGGCTGCAGGCGACCTTTGGGTGTCCCCTCGCCGAGCTGCGCCAGAGCGCGGGCGAGCCGGTCGCCGCGCCTGGCATGGCGCCGGCCGAGGAGGGCGTGCGGCAGGTGTGACGCAGAAGGTTCTTGAGCTGGGTTCTCGGAGTTGCAAACGGGCAACCAGTTTCGGCTCCGCCCCAGTGGAGGCTCCCAGGGCCGCCGCAAGGCGTGCCGGCTTTCTTTATATTTGACACCGGGGCTTGCTACCGAGAAACAAAGAAAGCGGGGAGGTCCGAACGGCCGGAGTCCTCCTCTCCTGTGTGTGGTGGCGGCGTGCCGCGTCCTCCCATCCCTCCCTTCGTCCCTTGGGTTCTTGTCTGTTTTGAGTTTTCTTTCTTTCTTTTAGAGCGAGACCCCTTAGTGCAGTTGGCGACGGTATATCATTTCCCACTATGCCACGTCGCCCATCCCAAACCACACTCCCCGGGTCGCGGAACATGTGTCCGGTTTGGTTATCGGCCGGGATGCGGTCGATCGGGAGAGATTTTTAAAGACCAACAAGAAATCACTTCTTGTCGATCGGTGGACTCCTTAGAGAAATTCAATTTTTTCGACCGTCGGACTGGGATTCGAACTGGCGACCCAGTGTGGTTTTGGCATAGTGGGATGGGCGACGTGGCATAGTGGGAAATGATCTACCGTCGCCAACTGCACTTATAGCACGTCGCACCTTCCTTTTTCTTCTGACGCCGTTGTCTGCTGTGCCTTTTGTGGTGCTAGTTCGTGCCAGTCTGCTGTGAGAGGGGCTTGCATTCGTAGAATTCTTTCTGACGGCGCTTTAGCACTTCCCGATGTCGTCGGCGAGCGACGTCGAAAGCGACGGCACTCCTACGCAGCCCCTGCTCGACGCACTCTCGACTGCGCGCTTCCAGCAGCGGCTGCTCTCCCTTGTCGGCGAGAAGGAGGGTGCCGAGCGGCGCGTCCAAGAGCTCGAGCGGAGCGTCCATCACGCCGAGGCGACGCTCAAGGCTGCACTCGACAGCAGGAGCGAGGTGCAGGCCAACCTGCGTGCGTCGGAGCGCCGCATACAGGAGGCCGAGGCTGCGGCCGACCGCCATCTTGCGGCGGTGGAGTCGGAGAAGCAGCGCTACGCCATCCTGGCTCGGCTCGCCGACGACCAGGCGGCCGAATCCAAGGCAAAGATCAGCGCACAGGGCGAGCAGCTGCACGTACTGAACGAGCAGCTCGGGGCTGCGAACCGGGCGGTAGGCACACTGCGTGCTCACCAGTCCTCCTCGGATCAACACATCGAGTCGTTCCACGCCAAGGTCTCGGAGGTGACGCTCATGCTCGAGACGGTGCGTGCTGCGGAGCGCACCTGCCGCGGCACGGTGGGCCGCATCGTGGAGGAGCAGAGCAGCGCCCGCTTGCAGCTCTCCGCCATTGAGCGCACCCAGGCCTCGGTTGTCGGCCGCGCCAAGCTTGTCGCGCAGCTCAAGGCGGCTCGAGAGGTGGCCAAGGAGAAGGACGCGCTCAGCAGCTCCCGACTCGAGGAGATGAAGGTACGCGCTTGCCAGAGACTAGCCTGAGAGGCCTCCAAATCTGCATGCGCCGCATCTTCCCCTCTCACCTTGCTCGGCTGTACCCCCATGATCGTCGCGGCGCAGGTGCTCATGCAGGAGCTTCGCAAGGCGAAAGAGGGGCACGCGGATGCCCTCTCGGTGGCGCGCAAGATGCGAGGCGAGGCCAGGGGGGCGGAGTCGCTGCTGGCGAAGAAAGACGCGCTGCTTGCGAGCCAGGCGGACCAGATGGAGGGGGCTCTTCGGCGCAACATGCTCCTCTCTGAGACCAACGATCAGCTGCAAGCTGCGGCGCGACGCAACGAGGTGTCCAGTCGGGAAGCCCGTGGCGGGCGCCACAGGCGGAGCGCACTGTCCCCATGGGAAGAAGACGTGTCTCTCCGCCGATAGGTGGTGACGCAGCTACTGCTTCGTGAGCTGGGACAGGCCGACGCGCTCGCTCACTCGGGCGACCGGCTTGCTGTCGTCGACGAGCGCGCGGATGGTGCCGAGTGGATGGCGGCGCGCGCGCGAGCAGCGACGCTCGAGGCGGAGGTGAAGGCCTCGCAAGAAGCGGAGGAGCGGGCATCTGAGCAGCACGCAGCTGCGTTGGCACTTCTCGCGGCCACGCAGGACGAGCTTGACCAATGCCGCCGCGAGTTACTCGAGGCGCAGGAGGAGGCGCAGGGCGAGCTCGACGAGGCGCTAGCAGCAGCAAGGGTGCCGCTCACAGAGCAAGCCTCGATGGAGTCAGACCGAAGCACGCTGCAGCAACGCGGTGGAGGGTCAGCGGCGCTCCCAGAAGAGGCCGAGGACTCGATCTCCTCGGATGCGAGGCCGCCTCGAGCGCTCGACCAGCTTCGTCCACCGGAGCATCCAGCGCCGCACGAGCAGCAAGGCTGGCTCGGTGTCCACGGCCAGAC